AAAAAAAAAAAAAAATAAAAGCTTTTGCAGCATTCATCAAGTGAATCACAGCAGCAGAGTGAATGTATTGAATTTCAAGCAGCATTTGTGGTCGACTATATTTTTGAAAAAGCACAATACATCAAAATTGAAGTGTAAGTTGTTTTTTTTTTTTTTTCTCCTCTCTCTCTTCTAATACTTTTGGCTATCAAATTATTTTAAGTGTATCGGTTTCAAAAGTTAACCTATTTGTGGTCAATAAAAAAAAAAAAGGAAAATTTTAAATAACAGTATAAACATACAAAGTGTTAGGCTAAATTAGCCGCTACCTCAAAATTAACATTGCTTAACTGTGAAAGTATGAGAACGAAATTTTTGACCAGTTTTTTTTTGCATACTATTAGTGCAGTCTAAGATTTTAGATGAAGAAGCACTGTAAGCACTTTTAACAAAGCTGTATTTATATTTACTAGACAAATATAGTTTTTTTTTTTTTGTACAGGATATGTAATTGTACTTGAGACTGTACTAGGTGAAATGATGAACAAAAAAGATGCAGTGTTTTTTGAATGTAATTGAAGTCTCCAGGTTTTGGAACAGTTATTTTTGGCAGCTAAAAAATTTGTCACCCTGTACAAAATCAATTAACAGTTTTGACATTGAATAGAATTTAATAGTTTTTTTTACTGGTTTAAAAAAAATGACATTTTATTAGAATTACAAAATCTGAAAAAAAAAAAAAAACAATAGAAGTTTACAAAGTCTGAAGTAATGGTAAGTTTGATAATCAGTAAAAAAAAAACTAGAATAAAAAAGGTAAAAAATTTATTGAAATATTTTTTTGATCATATATCAAAGATCATAATTTAAGATTTACTTTTCAAAATTCTTTTTTTTTTTTTTTCACACTACTTTTCTGTCTTTTTCCCAATCAGTCTTAGAGGTTAGGCGTAATTGGTAAGTAAAAATAATTGTTTGTTCCACAAAGAACACACGTCTAAACAGTTGCTGTTTTCTTTTTGCGTTTATCAAAGCTTTTTTGATGAGTTTTTGCTGCAAATCTTTGTCATATTTATTAAATATTATTTAGTTTTCAAACTTTTTTCTACTTTGTTTTTTTTTTTTGATGCGGCAGTAAATAGTGAAAAAAACTGCAAAAAATTGAAAGATCTACAAGTATTTTTTTGAAAGAATTTTTTTTTAAAAAGCAGTGACACTACTTTTTTGCTTTGTTCAAATTTGTTGAACTTTAATAATGCAACAATTTTGCAGCAAATAAAACTTTTTCAACAATTAGAACAAAATTTTATCAAATGTTTACAGTTTTGCATCTGATATTTACATTCAACTAAGCATATAGCTTAAAACATAATTTTTTTTCTGAAAATAAGGCCTATAAAAACTAAAAAAAAAAAAAAAAAAAAGAAACTAGTGCAAAGACTTTTAACATCAGTTCCCAAATATGTTTACATTTTCACAGGGTTTCAACCTTTTAGCACTTTTGTATTTTCAGAAAAAAATTTTCATTCACTTATTGTGGGTGGGCATATACAGTTGTCTAAAAAAAAAAAAAAAAACGAATAATTTCTCAAAAACCACTAAAATCAACGATTTTTTCCCCCATTTTTTTTTATCTTAAAAGAAAACTGTTAAGATTAAAATTCTGAAGACAGGAAGAAAGAAGAAAGTAAATTTTTCAAAAGCATAACTGTTTTAATTAAAAAACAACACTAAATGATTGCACACTTTTTAGAGTTTTACAAAAGTTTTTAGTGACAGTTTCTTAGGGTGCAAAATTTGATATGAATTTTGGCTCAGAATTTTTATTGTACAAAATTTTTTCAGCCATAATGCTGAAATTTTGTTTTGTCCTTCTTGAAACATGTGTTAAATGAGATTATTTTTTAGACGAGCCTATTCATCCCAATCCAGTTTTCCTCTAGCCAACAAGGGCATCATTGGTAGTGTCATCTTCAAGTTGGATGAATTGATCGGTTCATTTGGAGCTCAAATTTGTAAACCGCTAAGGTAATTTAGATTACTGAGCAATTTTCTACTGTTTGATAGCCACTCTCCTGTGACTTTCAGTGCACAATATTACTCATCAACACTCATCAACAAAGGATAATACATTAGCAGTTTATTACGTACAGTTGCTTTTCCAAATTACATGTAAACAAGTATAATAGACCCTTTCTCCTTTAAAAAAAGTAATAATTTTGCAGCGAAAAATCAACAATATACTCTGCGATGATCGCCCATAGTTTTCCTCAACATTCAATTGACTATAAGGGTTTAGCAATTATACAGGGACGACTTGCGGAAAAAGCTGAACCAGTCTTTATTCAATTTGCTGGGCGAAATTTAGAAAAAAAAGCTAAATTTTTTGATGAAACAAAGGTGTACTATCAGGTAAATTTTAAACGAGTATTAAGATGCTTGAAAGTTTATCTTAAAATTCTTGGATTAAAAGTAGTTTATCTTTTTGTACCTTTTTCTTCAACAAACTGGTTTAGATACATCGAATTGAAAAAAATGACGAACGTACACTGCTCTATGAAAGCGAAACAAATAAGAGCCATTCGCATCCGATTTGGAATCCCTTTAGCCTACAGATGAAGAGTATTGCCGATAATCGTAACAGGTTGGTAGTGAAAAAAAATAGTCTAATTATGAGAAATGGATAGGGGAAGGGAAAGAAGAATGAGAATGTCTAAATAAAGCGCTGGAAAAATAAAACCTAGTCAGCGGAACTCGCTTAAATCAAAGCTGAAAACTTTTGAAGTGTTAAAAAATAAATTACTTAGAATTTAATTTTTTAGGTGTCCTTTTTAGACTCTGCAAATCAAATTGTAAAAAAGCTGCTGGAATTTTTTAGCAAAATCACTCATTTATTTAAGAAATTCCGGTTTTTTACACTTAGATTCCGAATCTCTTATTGTCCCAACATAAAAATGAGCAATATCTTCCAGAACCGTTTGTGAGAAAAACACTTGCAAGAACCAGTCTTTTTTTGAAAATTGATGTCATTTTCCTCTGCCTCCCTCACTTCACTTCGTCTAGCTTTTATACTTTCTGGTTGATTAAAAATATTCGAAGAAAAAACTAGGAGTCTTCTTTAGAATCATATCTCTATTTCACAAAAGTACCTGAAAGAAAAGACCGTTTATCTTATCTAGTACTTGGAAAGGCAGATGTAAGGGGAGAGATTAGACAAGTGGGAAAGGAAAGAAGCAGAACTAACTCTGCCAAATTTCAACCAATATAGTAAAACGATAGGAAAACGGTACAGTAGTCAATGAACGCGAATAATTAGCTTAGTCAGGAATTTTCTCAATTGCAAATTTCTGCAAAGAAGCACCTTTGAAGGCTACTGGAAGTTAGTGTTCTGTACCGAGATGAGGTGGATCGACAAGGTTTTATTGGTTCTTTCTTGACAAGTTACGCGAAGATGAAGTACGGGCCTGGTCCAGAAAATGTCTATAATGTTGTCAATAGTAAAAAACAGACCAAAAAAGGATACTCAAACAGTGGAACTTTTGAACTGATCAAATTTACTGATGTTTCTTTTTACTCGTTTCTCGACTACATTACGAGTGGGTAAGTGATGATTGGTTTTCTAACTTTTATTTATTTCTATTCTCAAACAACTTACTGGTATATTTAACTGAAATATATTCTACTGCTAGTTGTAGGACACAGCTGCATCTTGCTGTCGCTATTGATTTCTCTTCAAGCCCCAAGAAGGATACCCAAAATTTTGTTGAAGATTTCCAACACAGCCTGCGAGCAATTGGAAACATTATTAGCGATTATAGCCCGTAAAGATTATACTTTGACTTTTGGTTTGACTTACCTATGGTAAAGCTCTTTTACACTACGCGTAAGTTCCAACTTTTTGCTTTTTGTGTTTAATCAATGTTAGCTTCTTTTTCAGGGGACGACTATTTTCAGCATATGGGTTTGGAGCCAAAATACCACCTAATTTTCACACCTCACAACTGTTTAACCTGGTCAGCGTTACCTTGAATGTTATTGTTAAAAAAGTTTTGATAATATTGTTACCGAAAAATTCACCTACTTTTGCAAGAGGAAGAAAGTAGTTTATCGCAAAAAATTTAAGAGCATCGTGACAGCAGAATCTTAAAAAAATAAAAAACTGAGGTTTTATTGTTTATTTTATCTTAAATCTTGCTTGTCAGACAAGTTGGTGCTCTAATTTACTCATTTAAAAGCTATTTAAAAAGAACGTTACATTTTGTGAAGAAAGTGGTCTAAATGACAGAATTTTTGGCAACTTTGAAATACTTTTTTACAGTAATTTAAGAGGGTTTTTTCTTTGAAGAATGTTTTAACTGTTTTTTTTTTTACACTAAGAAACTTTTGAATATTGTGTCACCTGTTTTTCATATTTGAAACGACAAATGAAAGCAAATAGAAATTATTTTATGGTCAACAAATTAGGCTCAAAGCAAAAAGTTAAATTTCAGGCAAAAAAAAAAAAGTTTAAAAAATTTTTTTTGGTTATTTACTTGCTAAATAACATTTGATTACACAATGAAGTATAGAAAGAAAGTCAAATAAATAAATTTCTTTTCTTTGCTTTTATTAAGTGGTACACCAAAAAGAAAAGGTCAGAAGTTTTTTTTTGAATGCTATCTAGTTTCTTTGTTTCAGCAATAAAAAAATTTTTTTTCAGACTTTTGATTCGGATCCTTATTGTCGTGGTATTGATGCCGTAATTGAAGCATATCGAAAAGTTAGCAAATTTGTTGTTCCAGCTGAAAATGCCTATTTTTCTCACGTCATCTACGAAGTAGCAAAGTACTCTTTCTATCATTTTATGCTTTTAAATTGTTCTATGACACTTTTAGCTTTTAAAACTCAAAAGTATTCTAATTCCTTGTTCAAAAAACTTCTTTAGGCAAGCAAATAATGAGGGTTCAAAAGGTTTACACTATTTTGTCCTCGTCGTATTCACCTGTGGTGGTCCCATTCATGACTTGAAAGATACTCAAAGTGCATTGGTGCATTCTTCGGGTTCACCATTATCAGTCATCTTCATTGGTGTGGGTGAAAATAACTTTGATGATTTTGATCGTCTCGCCAGATCCGGTAAACATTTAGCTTCATCAGGACGACAAACACAACGCGATATTGTTGAGGTAAAAAAGTAGTTTCATGAGAAATTTGCTTTACGAAACTTTTGAATTTTTTTTCTGTTTAATGATTGCTTTTCCAGTTCGTTGAGCTGAATGCAGTTGTCGACCGTGACGAAAAACAGTCTGAAAACAAGAGTCACATTGCTGAACAAGCCTTGCATTTAATCCCCAGGCAGATGACTTCGTTCATGCATAAAAAGAATATCGCAGCAAAACCTCCTATACAGGCAAAGCTGACGACTATTTTTTGAAAATTTTTTAACTATTAAAATGCAGGTCTTCTGTATTTCTTCGAGTGATCTATTTAGAAGGAAAGAAGAAACCGGAAAAAGAGCGAAAAAAATTTTTTAGCTGAAATAAATGAGAATTTCCAGCACTATTCAGTTAACATTTTTACATTACAAAATTTTTAGCGAAAATAATAATTGTAGGTATCCCGATCGCCAATATTTCATGCGTCATATCTGATTCCTGATCGTCCAACTGAATACTATGATGACTATGAAAATCCGGAGGAATATATCCGTACAAAAGATGGCGGTGCGCGGCCAAGGCCCCAGTCAGATCGGAGACCAGGCTTTCAGTGTATGTATTGCAGCTGTAAAGAGTTGCACTTTTGGTTGGGAAGGCTAAATAGTAATTCCTGCTAAGTTTTTTTGACCAGAGGATGTCGTAGAAGCAAGACTGACTGAAATAGATTTATTAACATTTTTGAGCGGGTTTCAATAGATTAAGGACTCGACTCAATGGCAGAACTTAATAATTAACTTTGGTCAAAACTATTAATTCAGACGATGCTACTTATAAAGCAAAAGTTCACAACACATTGTTGTAGATCAGAGCGTCCGATCAAATAAAAACAAACAAAAGCTACTTCCTTCGTCTGCTGCTTCAAGGCGTGAGTTTGGTACGCCGAGAACAGCTGCTTACCGGTCTCGATCAGCAATACAGACTCCTCGCGAACAAGTTCAGAAAAGATATGGCAGAAGTAAGAAGCACGTATCAAGGCGTTGTAGAAGTAGTAAAAAATGCATTACACTTTTGTTTTAACTGTCTCCGGCTTGGTAAAAAACTGAGACAACGCTAGTTTTAGGTACTGCTGATGAGGACGGAAAACTTGTCCAGCTAAAACTGCAGTCAAAATTAAGACCTGTCAATTCTTTACGAGTACAGTCTCGAACACCAAGAATTTAAAAGATGGTGTAGAACTGACGTCAACTGTCTATATAAGGCTCACTTGTGTGCATCATATCTTTGTTTGTTTGTATGTTTTTTCTCCCTTTTAACTTTTTCCGTTCTAAGTTGCTATTTTTTGGGAATTTTTAAAAACCTGATATTTTTTTTCTAAAAGTTCAATGTTACTGTAATACGGGTCACAAATGGCGTGCAATGCGATTTCTTGACAACTTTTTTATCATATTCACGTATCTAATTGTTATACATGTGTGAAATCTGCAGCAGTGTTTCAGAAGCTTCCATTTTTGATCTCTTTGTATTTCAATTTTCTTTGTATATTGTAACTTGAAAAATTTTTTAAACTTCCTTACTCATATGTACTTTATTACAATTGTAAATATAAATTTTGATTTAAAAAAAAATGACAGAGGAATGCAGATGTTTTATCAAATCTCGAGTGGGATGAACATCAACCTTATGCTTATCTGAAAAGTAAAATCAAGCAATGAATTCGTAACTGTGTTGGTCACTCGTTCACCAGTTGCTTTTGAAAATTCTTCATTTGTTTTGCCTCTTTGATACATTTATGAAATTTTTAGAAACGAAAAGCAATAAAGGCCTGAATTTTTGATTTCGACTATAAAAAATTAAAGCACATTCAAAGGCTTTACTTTGTTTTTACACTATTAGAGGAAGATTCTTTTAACTGTACAACAAATCTTTAAAATAAGCCTGATTTATGCACCTTGCACAGCATAAACGAAAGTATTCAACTTTTGATACTTTTACACTTTCAAATATTCTTCAGATTGAGGCAATGCAGAACAAAAACAAATGATTTCCTTATTTATCGATACAACCACGCATAAAAGAAATATTAGCATGTTCACATGAATGTATACCAGTCTCCCAGTACCATGCTTAGTACTATTTTAACGAAACAGGAAAACAATATCAAAATTTTTAATTAAATAATTCATATTCAAAAACTCTTGAGAATTGTTTGAATCAAACATAACTTACAAGAAATTTTTCCTTTAACTATGCTAAAAAGATCATTTCTATCAGCTGTCTCACTGATGTTGTTCAGAACGATGATACTCTAAATGTAAAACCAGTAAAAATATTTTCTGTCACTTCGTACAAGTTGATAAAACGTGACTTTGCTAGTGTAAGAATAAGACAATCAAATAACTTAATAAGAAACGGTAATCCACAAAGATTTCTTCGCAGTGGCCTCTTTCTCTATGGAAAAGACTAACAAGAACTGAAACAGTTTTGGCGCATATAATAGCCTGTTTAATTGGAAAAAAAAAAAAAAAAAAACAATGATTAATTTCAGCGCATTTGTCTGACTACATTTCTTCAAACTGCCAATTTGAACAGATTCTTTTACAATATTGATACTTCAATCAAAATCGAACTGCTAGGACCTGCAGGTAAGCTGTGGTGTCCAATTACGTCTGTAATTCTTACAAACAATAGTTACTGTCTAATATAATAAGTATTTTACAAAAGTTTCAAAAGGTGTAAGTAGAAGTGAAGTCAGATGTGTTGGTCAATGTTCGTCAGTTCAATATTTGTCGCGGAATAAACTCTTTTTTTTTTTTTGCTGTAAAGAAATAGTTTAAAATAAGCCTAATCTCTCATCGCCGTTGTTTATTACTACTTTTCCTGAAATCAGTTTCGGTTCAAAACTTTATTAGCACAGCACTTCAAAATTTACTCCTTCATGAAATCTATATAGTACTATCTTAAACAAATGCTGTATAAAAATTGATTAGTTTTGGCATACGGAAACATCCTCAAAACCAAGACTTAGTTTTTTCAACTCCTCCTATGTTTCAAAAAAAATAACTTAATAAGGATGGATGTATTATCAGGATGGATGTACATCCCACATTTTCACCAATAACAAATTATCCTTTTTAGTCTCGAAGGCTGCACATAAACAATGCTTAACAGGGCTGTAAGACTTGCTAAGAAAAGCTAGAAGTTTTTGCGGTAAGCAGTTACCATACTGAAAATCGCTATGCATGTTAAAATCAGTCAAATTTTTGCCAGCATTCATCAGCGCGATAACGCTGAGGTCTCAAAAAAAAGCAATCAAAATCCTCCGTCATTTCTTGTTACGCTGTTAGTGTTAATGAAAAAATTACTATATATGCTCTACTTAATCTCCAGAAACCTCGAATCCATATATACGGACTCCGGCCCTCAACAACACATTTCATTTATCTGACAGGCCACTAGCACAACTTACCCCAACCCTGATAGAAATCGGTAACTTCTAATGAAAACGCCGAAACTCGGCTTGCTGCCAAGACAGTTTGTAATTTATGCTTCGGGACCTGACTACATGAAGTTTAACCTATAAGTTTATTTGACTCTCAGAATTTTTTGTTTGCCGTTGGTGAAGTTATATTTTAGTTTTCGGATCATGCAGTCTCGTAGTACTTCTGTAGCCCTCTGAAGATTTTCATCCGAATGTTAGAGTTGTGTTGCAAGGTGTAGTCTTTATGTTTCTCATCTGGACTTATTATATGAATTTATTCTAATTTTTGCTTATTCTCTTCTCAGTTCTGTTTTTTTCCTTTTTTCTGCTTTCAGCTATGTAATACGAGATTCCAACAGGCGTAAATGTGTGCAAATTTCCTCTTTCATTTTCTTTTTGTATCGTTTTAAAGATGCAGAATGAATGGTCTTTCTGCAACTGTCCTCCTGTATCGTGGCACACATTTTCTTTTATTTTTTAGAAAAGTCTTTAAACATATGAGACTCGGATGTTTTTTTTTTTTTTTTT